GTTTTGTTTATAAAATATTAATATTTATATATAATATAAATTATATATATATATATATATATAAAATATAAATTATATATATATATATATATATGTAAATATTTTTAAAATATATATATATGTATGTTTGTGTATTTATATATACATAATAAATATACACAGTACACATATATTTTGTAAACAAAAACTTTTATTTTGGATTTGTGATTATGTGATTAATCACTTGACAGCATTAAGTAATATATTAATTATTATAAATATTCAATATTCAATATAAATAATATATATATACACAGTACACATATATTTTGTAAACAAAAACTTTTATTTTGGATGTGATTGATTGTGATTAATCACTTGACAGCATTAAGTAATATATTAATTATTATAAATATTCAATATTCAATATAAATATAATATATATATATATATATAATTTTAACAGTTTAAAATATTATGAAGCTGAGTGAAGATGGTAAGAAAGTCATACATTTGGAACAACATGAGAAAATAATGGTACACTTTAAATGCAAGAAGATACATATTTTTAGCCACTCAAGACTGATTTACCTTCCTCTTCTCTTTTTTCTCATCTTTCTTGGTGAAGACGGTGTGAACCCACCAGATCTTGGTGAACATGCTGCCATAGGCTAAACTGAAGCCCAGTCCTAGCAGCCACAGGCGAAACTATAAGAGAGAGAGAAAGAGTTCATTTGGGAGCTCAGCTCCAAAGCAGCCATTCGTTTTTTTATAACAAATCTTTGTCGTGTTCAAAGGTCAAGGCTGAATGAGAGGAAACGACAATAAAAAAAAGTGAGCATAACGTTTATGACACTACCTGGCAGACCACAGGGAACTGTGATCTATGGACATGGAGGCCATCGATGCCCAGAGGAAAGACAGCTGCTAATGCCAGCACACAACCCACCGCCGTCATGTTGTTCAGATAGGGCTGAGAGTTCTGAATGTATCTGTCAGAAGGGTTACAACAGATTAGAACAGATCAGTCTACAGATATATTACACTCTATCAAAATGAGAAATCCAAAACATTTTATGCTGGGCTGAAATATTATTTTGTAACAGTCATGGTAGCATACAATCATGAAAAATCTAATTTTCCTTTATCTTGTAAAATAAGAGTGTCAAAACTTCCTTCTCTGGTTCAGTTTCCTTCCCAGTTCAAATAGGGTTTTATCAAAACCTTCATCCACGATCATTTCATTTTTTCAACGGTTTGTGTGCCACATTATAATTATAGTCAACCAGCCACAATGTGATGCAGCTTTGCAAACAATTTCTTAATTATCTTTGCTTTTCTTTTTCAGTAAAAAGATATAATCACTCTTAAAATAAGAAAATTACTTGGGAGAAAAATTGTGTAAGATAATAACTTAATGATTTGTTTTCAGGCAATATTTCTTGAATAAATTATTTTTAAATGTTCCAACTCCACTGGCAAACTTGTCATATTTTAACCATAAACTTAAAGGGGGTCATATGATGCGATTTCAATTTTTCCTTTTTCTTTGGAGTGTTACAAGCTCTTGGTGCATAAAGAAGATCTGTAAAGTTGCAAAGACTAAAGTCTCAAATCCAAAGAAATCTTCGTTTAAAAGTTAAGAGTCAACCACACCTACCTAAAACGGCTCGTTCTAACACGCCCCCACATGTCTTTGTATTTGCATAACGATTTGCATAACGCCGCCCAAATGTTCACGCAAAGAAAGAAGGCATAACTTTTATTCTCGCTGTAGTATTGTTGTTGCCGCTGCCGCCATGTAGTGAAGACACTGTGTGTTTAATTGTGAAAGCGAAACTACTTTGTTTGGCCTTCCAAAGAGGCCAGGAGCTGATCCGTGCTGGTCAAATTTTACAGCACTTCAGATCACTTGCATGTGGATTTCTTATGAACACACTAACCTGATGCTACTGTTGTATATGTTGAAGGAGAGGCAGACTATTCCCAGAAGGATCCCCAGCCCGGCAAAGACAGACACGGATACAAAGAGCTTCTGGGAAAGGTAACGAAACTCCTCGATCACCTTGGTCTGGTCTGCCGGAGGCCCAAGGCCTGTCAAAAGAGAAACCAGTCAGGGAAAATCTGAGAAACTGAAAGAAACTCTGGAGCGCAGACAGAACGGAATGGCAGATAAGAGCATACAGATCACAATGTAGATGCTGAAATAAATCAGAGACTGACTTCATTGACAGTTGGAAGAGCAAAGGCGAAGTATTCCAGCTTGGTTCAGAGAGTCTTAAGCTACGTCTGCGCTGTCAGACTTCAGAAACACAAGACTTGGAGGGAATATTAATGGATTTTTTTGACAGACAATTTTCTGTGAAATAAGGCCACTGGGCCGGTTTGACACGTCAAGTGTCTGGAAAATTTCAGGGGAAAAGGAAGCTCACGACGTTCACACATTAGCAGGACCAGACGGAATCTGACTTCTTTCACACTTTCGGCTCTTGTTTTGGAGGAAAATCTGCAGAATGAAACAGATTTTAGGATGCGTTAAATGGAGCTGCGATTACTACACTTTTATTTCTAGCTCAAAGAATAAACAAATACACTACAATATTTAATAAACAAACATCCAAAGGACAAGGAATGTGTAAAAATCTGTGACTAAAGGCTGTTATATTTCTGAACTGGTGTGAGATCAGTTTCATTTTTTTGTTCAAAACTTTTCCAACAACAACATGTTGCAAAATGAGAACGGTTTTATATATCTGGGGGGATTTTTAATGATGGCATCTGGTATGAACACATTGGCTTGTAAAATGAAGACATCTGGTTTACATGACAGGAGATCAAAGTGGAAGAGAGCAGGAAGATTAATGTCAATGCATAAATCTACTGACAAGAGTTTTTCTTGCAGTGAAACATCAACATAAAATCAACATTCAAATTTTGATGTCGTTAGTTTTAATGATCTGAAAAGAGTGTGACAGACATTTTTGCTGTTTTACGGCATAATTCAAGTCATAAATTAGTTGAGAGAAATAAGCCTATTATAATTAGTCAAAATAATTGATTAGTCGGTAGTTATGTTTTATTTAAACTTGTATTGGACAAATTACAAATTTATTTTTTTCAATGTACACTATTTCAATGTTTGTTATTTAATTTTATATTTCAATGTACACTACTTTTCAAAAGTTTGGGGTCTGTATTTAATGTTTTTTATTAGAAGTCTCTTTCGCTCACAAAAGCTGCTTTTATTTGATCAAAAATACAGTAGAAACAGTAATATTGTGAATTATTATGACCATTTAAAAGAACCGTTTTCTACTTCAATATAAAATGTAATTTATTCCTGTGATTCAAAGCTGGATTTTCAGCATCATTACTCCAGTCTTCAGTGTCACATGATCCTTCAGAAATCACTATAATATGCTGATTTGCTTTTTTTATTACTATCAATGTTGTGTTGTGCTGCATAATATTTTTGTGGAAACGGTGATACAAGATTTTTCGATGAATAGAAAGTTCAAAAGAACAGCGTTTACTTGAAATATAAATATTTTGTACATTATAAATATATTTCCTGGCACTTTTGATAATTTGAATGAGTCCCTGTTAAATAAAAGTATTAATAAAAATCATACTGACCCCAAAATTTTTAATAGTAGTGTAACATACTGTAAGTCTATGTAGCCCATGTAGTACAACACTGACATTTTTTTTTTTCAAAAGTTCAAATAAATCTTCATGGTGTGAATTAAACTAACAGCCCTCATTCCTAAATGAAGTGCGCCTACATTTGATCCAAGGTAAATTAATGTAATTAACTTAAATTTCACAGATCATCTATGTATTAAATTAGCTCACTGTGTCAATCTGAAGGAACTAAAGAGTTCACAGCACCATTGTAAACTCATAGTAAAAGTGTTATGTTATCACTCCTCACACTAATGTTATCACTCTTCCTGGAACTGTGACAAAAATGATGAATTTACGCTTCTCGCCATTCAATCTGTCACTATAATTATAACCAAAAACAGGATTCCTGTGGGAACAATAATTACAGTGATGATGGCTGTCTTGTGCATATAAAGCTATTTGAAAAAGACAAACAAATGACAGCGACTGGCAGAAATCTAACACTGAATGATAGTTAAAAACTAAAAGAATATTTCTCTGTCAGAAGCAACCGTGTCATTACCAGGGACTGAAAGCTGACCGTGAGGGACATGTGTCCATGAAAGACAGCTGGCCCTCGGGTTCGTCAAAAGTGACACAATGTTTGTTGATGCTTTTCCGAATGTCAGAACACTGACGGGACAAGAGTGACACCTGACATTTGCTACTGCAATGTGGCAGCAATGCTGTGAGAGATAAATGTGTGTGTGTGTGTGTGTGTGTGTGAGTGCTAGAAAGCTCTGTCTTGTCAGTTGATGCATTCGCACAGTAAACCTTCCGTCGTCCTTGATCTAAGAATCAGGACAGGGTGTTGCTATGGAGACCTGGCTTAACAACAGTTTCCACAGCAATTTGGAAGAGAAAGTCATGCTAAAGTGGTTGTCAGGAGCTACCAAGAGATTGCTGAAAAGCAAGGGCATTGCCATATGGTTCAAAAAGACATAAGAAATCAAGTCCTGAGCTCTGACCCGTGTTATATGTTATAAAGGCCACATTTTTATTTTAATAAAAATTAGAAACCATTCAAATGCTTGAGAATCTCACCCAATGGATTCCGGAGGAGGTTCTGCGCTATTTGGAAAGAACATCTGCCGCTTCTGTTATTATCAAGGGCAAAAACAGCAAGCAATGTCACCAGCTCGATGCTCCGCTTTTTTGGAGGAAAGAGGAAAACGTGACTAAATAGGTCATAACTCAAAATTCAGTTTTTCTGAAAATAGCCGTGATTGGCTAAAAAGGATGTACGTTTGCAAATGAGGGAAGAAAATGTCCTTTTACAGTCCCTTTTGGTGACAGGAAGTTACTGCAGAGAAAGTGAAGGAGTGGAATCACTATTTGATATTTTTAGTCAGTGTACAGGTGTTATTAAATGAAGGAAGCGTTTGTTTTAAATTGACAAAATTTTGTATATGCTTTAGTGTGATTATCAACCTTGTGTGAGATCAATATGTTTGGTAATTTCCACAATAAGAAAATGTTAAATGTGTCTGGTAAAATCTGCTACACTTTACAAGGAGAATCAATTTGTTAACATTAGGTATCATGGACAAAAATAACAAAATTGATGTTACAAATTGTGATAAATCTACATTAAGGTGTATATATATTTATACAACAGTTCGTTCTGGTTCTCAAATCTGATTGGTTGAGAACTGTGAGATATTGTACTGGTATCGCTACAGGAATGCCCTTTCACAATTTTGTATCACTCCGCTTGTTCTAGCCGGGTCTATGTTTTTTTTTATTATTCACTGAGCTAATCGTAGAGTACGTTAGTTAATATAAGAAGAAACGTCTAGCTTCGCGGTCTCTCTCTCTCTCATTTGGATGCACGTCTTGCCGCATTGTTTCTCTCTTATAACCTCATTATTTCTCACTAATAACCTAACTGAAGCAGCACATGCCCTTGATACCAATTCTAAAAGTGACGTATGTTTAACTGTCAACTTGAGCTTTGAATCTGTGGCGGAAGGAAGTAGTTCCGCTCAAAAGAGGGTTTTATTAGGCACTCCGTTGTTTCTTGTTTAATTACACACGTTCCGTCGAACTGTTGTATAAACGCAATATCACTCTCGTACTCGAGTGATACCGGCTCTATATCAGTGGCTGTGATTGCCTCCTGCACCAGGCCGCCTAATCACAGCCATGCTGATATAGAGCCGGTATCGCTCGAGTACGAGAGTGATATTGCTCATTTATATGCTCACCTAGGCTGCATTTATTACATCAAAAATACAGTAAAATACCGTTAATTTAAAATAACTGTTTTCTATTTGAATATATTTTAAAAAGTTATTTCTGTCTTCAGTGTCACACGATCCTTCAGAAATCATTCTAATATGTTGATTTGCTGCTCAAGAAACATTTCTTGTGATTATCATCACACAGCAAGAATGGCTGCCCACTGCTCTGGGTGTGTGTTCACTGCTGTGTGTGTGCATGTGGATGGGTGAAATTCAGAGCACAAATTCTGAGTATGGGACACCATAATTGGCTATATATCAAGTCACTTTCACTTTCCACAGTCTATACTGTTACTTTTGATGCATCCTCCCTAAATAAAACTATTCATTATTCCAAAAAAAAAACTACTGACCCCAAAACATAGATTGTATATATATATATATATATATATATATATATATATATATATATATATAGATGGCTTCAAAGAAAATAGACATTGTCACAGAAAAAGAGAGAACTATCTATCTAAAGCAGAAGTATCTAAACACACTCTGTGACTTCATAGGACCATACCTTGTGTGCTTTTTATAATATTCAAATCCTTCAGAAACATGCAAATCTGAATGCATTTCACACACTTTTGAAACACTGTAATCACCCTGTCAAATACAGTAAATTGCACTGTTCAGTAACTAAACTGACATTGACATCTATAATAATCTTTCACTTTTTCCCAAAACTTCTGCCTGCAGCATTGATCTTCACCTTGTAGCCATTTGAAAAACAAGCTCTAGTGAATAGTGAGGTCATTACTCGTCTAATGTAGGGCAGCGCTGCTTTGTCACCGTCACGCTGGTGGAATCCACTCAATGGGATCACAGCATGAAGGTCTGATTAGAGCCTAAATCAAGAATGACTCACAGAAGAGGACCGGGCAAATCCAGAAAATAATCGCCTCTGTATCTTTTGGGTGAGAAAATACAGGATTTTGGTGATGGCAATTCAATTCCCATCTCTTGGCAGAAAACCAATTTGTGGGATAATAAGGAAGGCACCGATTGGTGCGTTTGTAAATGATTCTAGAATAGTCTCCCAACATCCATGCCGAAAAAGGAGCAAGTTGAGCGACAACTGAGAATGTTTTATCAAAGCTATTCTAAGGGTAACATTACACCTGACAGGACACTTTTAAAAGTAAAGTGTTTCTTTTGTTTTCTTCACACTGCATTTTTAGGACTGACTGGCCAAAGAGGATGGAAAACTAGAAATGAATTCTTGAGGCACATGACACAATATAAGCGTCAGATGAATTTCTGTACTATTTACACATTCATGCATATGCAGAGTGTGAAACCACTCACCCGTTTGCGTACACTCTAAATGCAATCGATGTGAGTGTAAATAATAGGGCTGGGCTTTGACACAAATTTCACGATTTGATTTGATTCTCATTCACAAGCTTGCGATTCGATTAGATTACCGATTCGATTCGATTCAATATTGATTATTTTGGATATATATCAAGTACAGTACATGCCAAATTTACTCTAGGCAAAAAAATCTCTCAACTAATGCTGTAAAATATACACGAGAGTCAGTTGGTACTACATTACTATAATACTGAAGGTTAAAATGGACTAATTTGTAAAAATTACACTCAAGTTTTTTAAATAATAAAGTTACAATTACATAATAATATTTCTACTTCAATTCGTTTCTTTAAATATAAACATAAGAGTGGCTGTCATAAAAACTTGATGGATTTATTCAAACATAAATTAAACATTGAAATACAGTCAAATGTATAATGAATATGTTATATGGTGCATTTATTTACCAAAATGGCCCTAACTACAGTTTATTTTTCTATCTGATTAATGAGTTTATGCTCACCGAATATGTTTTTCTGAGGTAAATGTGACGTTACATGACATTGTTTACAAGCTGTTATATTGATGTCTTTGCGCAGCTAAAACACTGATTAAGCGATTACATGAGACAGGATATGGATTGTAAAGTTGTACTCTTTCTTTTAACTTACCTTCGGATGTTTAGTCATGTTTATTTTGTGCTGAAGCTGGTATTAATGTGGAGGAGATGATCAGTTCACGTGTGCCTCGCGCTGCTGTGTCTGATGATCGAGGCGCTACAGCGATCTGTCACTCCACATTCAACAGTGCCAAAACGGCATTTATTGTTTGAATATTGCAATACAATGGACAGAATTTGAAATCTGAGACTTTGTTTCATATTAAAAGTACCAAAGCACAATGCTTATTGCGATATATTGGATGGGAAGTGCCCTTCAATGTTCCATCCATTAACTGAAAACAGGCTAGACTAATCGATTCTTGGGATTTAAGAATCAATATCGTTCCGTAAAAATCAGAATCGATTAATATCGCGATATCGATATTTTTTACCCAGCCCTAGTAAATAAGTGAATTCTTTCACAGAAACTACACTTTGTGTGACGTTACAGTCACACAGCATCCCAAATGAGGGGAAAAAAGCATTTAATCTAATCTGATCATTCAGACTTAAAATCCCGTTTTACTTCAATTGCTGTTGTTGTTTTCACAGATATTAAGTCAAGTCAAGTCACCTTTATTTATACAGCGCTTTTAACAATACAGATTGTGTCAAAGCAACTGAACAGCATTATTTAGGAAAATAGTGT